ACGAGCGTTCTGATTGGCTGTTGTGGCAGATATATACTGTACAGATTTGTACCAGAACCCGTGCCGCGGGCGCCTGGGCGGCCCCCGCACCCCCGCCTTTAATATCTTCAACTAATTTCTCTGTTACTCACTCTCATGCCTGCTAGTTGTTAGACTGTTTACAGCATGACAGCAATCACGTGAATCGTCATCTGTTGCCACGTTCTAATGTCTGCATTTCTGGTTCGCAGGTTGGCTACCTGAAGACGTGAGATGCTGCAGGAGACAGACAGACAGACAGACAGACAGACAGACAGACAGACAGACAGACAGACAGACAGACAGACAGGTTGGCTACCTGAAGACGTGAGCTGCTGCAGGAGACATATATATGTATATATATAGAGAGAGAGAGATAGAGGGAGAGAGAGAGAGAGAGCACTGAGGGACGATGGCTGGTCGGATAGCAATGCTAGATCTACTGCAGAATGACTGGAAGTCATATCACTCTCACTGAAATTATGAATAGGTGCGTGTGCGTGTGTGTGCGTGTGTGCGTGCGTGTGCGTGTGCGTGTGGGTGCGCATGCGTGCGTGTTCACGTGTTTCAGCGTGTGTTTTTGTACGTTCATATGTCTGTGCGTGTGATGCTAATAATCATATATTATATATAATCATCATTCCAACGATATCTCATGTTTTATATCGTAATGCTTTGATGAGATGTATCATGTAGCGCTTACTTAATAAAGACACACCATGTCACGTCAATGTTAATGTAAGTCATACGTAGATTCATCTTAATAAAGACACACCATGCCACGTCAATGTTAATGTACGTCATACGTAGATACATCTTAATAAAGACACCATGTCACGTCAATGTTAATGTACGTCATACGTAGATTCATCTTAATAAAGACACACCATGTCACGTCAATGTTAATGTAAGTCATGCGTAGATTCATCTTTATCTTATATCACAGTTGCACTGACATTGTCTAATGTTAACATAAATAAATGCATTTCCTCGACGCCAACACACATCACAATCAACAAACTCACATCAGGTGATTAATCAGTGAGTCGGACAAACACTTAGGTTCCTATTCACAGCTGTACAGTTTATTCTTGCATATAATCACGTCTGTACATAAATCCTCGATGATTTCGAACAATGTCATGACTATGTTGTGAGAAAATGATTTGCATACAGAAGGCCATAACTGCTCTTGCATCTCCAGCCGAAACCTGCCATGGAGTTATTACTATTCACTATTCTACAATCTTCTTTAAAATGTCGACCATTTCGGGCGTTTCTACAGCGCATACGCACACTACAGCGTCGGTACGCGTCTGTCGTTGAGAAATGCAATTAAACTTTATATCGCAGGTGAAACGTGTCAATAAAAGTGAAATTTTAAATTTTAAATAACATGAGATTTTACATGAGAGGTGAACACACCACTTCAAAAAGTGTAACACATTTGAACACAAAAACTAACGTTTGAACACAAAAAACTATACATGTTTGATACGTGTTGGTTACATACGCATATATTTACAGAGATGTAACAATTACACGATCATATATATATATGTATATATATATATCGATTATAATATGATACATTTTTTACTGGTTTCTACAAGGCACGCGGTGAAGGCCCTCTATAAACAATAGGCCCGTTACGTACATATCACCATGGATACATAAATGTTATCTCACACTGTTCTCCAGACTAGAACTCCTCCTAGATGGCGCCACGTCATTGTTGTCTTTAATGTCGGTCGCGCGTTTGTAAAGCTGCGCTGGCTTTCTCATCAGTCGCCACTCATAAAATGATATAATGAATATATTATATAGTACATATATATATGTATAAAAATTAATTAACATTGCAATTAACATATAAAACAAAGACACTGATGCACAGTACACATCACACACCAGGCCGCACGCACAGCACACGCTGCACGCATCCATGCAGGTAACTCGCCACGTCGTAGTAAGAGCAGTGCCATGTTCCTCAGAGTTCCAGCGACGCCGCTGAACGGCCGTCCGCATGGCCTCTCCCAAATATGTGCATAGGCTCTGTATAGAAGAGGTTAGCGCTGCCGGTGGTTACCCTGTCACGAATTGAGAGCAGTGCTAACACACAACACAATATACACACACCCACACAACACACATCAACACAACAAACAACAACACACACACACACACACACACACACACAGGCCCAGCACACAACCACACACACACACCTCCACACACACATCACACAGCACACACACACACACACCTACACACACCGGCACACAGTCACACACAGCATCACACACACACACACACACACACCACACACACACACACAGATATCACACACACATCATACACACACACACACACACGACACACACACACACACATCACACACACACACACACACACACACACACACACACCACGACACACACACACACACCACACACACACACACACACCACAGCACAACACACACACACAGACACACACACACACACACCACAACCACAACACACACACACACACACAGCACATGCAGCACTACACACACACACACACACACACACACACACACACACACACACGACACACCACCACACACACACTCACACACACACACACAGCACACACACAGCACACACACAACCACACACACACGACACACAACACACACACCACACAACACAACGACACCGATAGCACACAGCAGCACACACACACACGACACACACACAGACCACACACACACACACACACACCACACACACAACACACACACACACACCCACACACACGCGACACACACATCACACACACACACACACACACACACACACACACACAACACACAGTCACTCACACACCACACACAACCACATCACACACACACGCAACACACAGCATCACACACACACACACACACACCACACATCACACACACACACACACACACCACTACACACACACACACACACACCACACACACACACACACCACACACACACACGACACACACCAACACACGACACAACACACACACACACACCTGCACACACACACGACACACGACACACAGCACGCAATCGACACACAGCCCACCGTACACCCACATCAGGCACACAACCACCACACACTCACACACACACACACAACACACACCCACACACACACCACACACCACACACCACACACACACACATCACACACACAGACAACACACACACACGAGCTCACACCCACACACAGCGCACCATAAACACACACACACCACACACACATCACACACACACACACGACGAGCGACACACGACACAATACACACACCGCAGCACACACACACAACACATACACACACACACACACACACACACACACACGCACACATCACATCACACACTCACACACACATCACGACACACACAGCACACACACACACACACCACACACCACACACACACACACACACACACCACACACAACGACACACACCACACCGACAACACACACAGCAACACACACCACTACAGACACACCACACACATCACACACACTACACACACACGACATCAGCACACACAACACACACACACACAACACACACACACACACAACACACACACACACCCACACATCACACACACACACAGTCACAGCAGCACGACACACACATCACATATATACACACCTAACACTCTAACCTTATTTCTAGACCTAATCCTAATCCTAAACACTCTAACACTAAACACGATCGTGACCTAACCTGGTTGCTATAATCAATAGTCCTTGGTGTACACAAACAAAACGCACACCAACACCACACACCGCGGCATCATAAAACAAGCATCTAAAGCGTAGAACACTGACAACGACCTACTAATATCAACACCTTAACAACAACCATGCAACTTATCAACATCTACAATAGCATGTAACATTAAACAGCCCATTAAATATTTACAACATCGCACCAATACATTAATTACACACCATGGCAAGCATTTTACAACAGCATACGTATAGCAACACCTAATGTGATTTTCGCCTAAAAGAATTCGGTTGACAAATTAGGCATAATAAAAGTTTGTATCTTCTTATGATAATGTAGCACATTGTATAACCAGTTCAAACACAATTTGTATATTCAATGGTTTATGCAATGGAAGTATTAGTAGTGTAATTGTTAGATTTCAATGCATAAGCAAAAGCAAGGACACAATGTAATATTAAGTGGCTAGTCATGCATTTGTGTATATATCCTTGGAAGTTTAATCCAATTTATGAATTCAGAATTTATTGTAAAAGGATGCTAATGTATAGTAATAGATGGATAATTGCTAAATAAATAAAATAAATAAAATAACACCTACCATCTTCGCAAGTAGAGCACGGCAAGGTGAACGCAGGGCCGGCAACGCTGCGGTGAGTCTCGCCGAACGACTGTTACTCCTGAGGCTGAGAGCCTGTCTGTACAGCGGCTCTGGCCTTTGCCAGCTTACCACTGCTTACGCAGAACCACGCCAGGTGCTTCACGAACGAGGCGACGGCAGGATCGTCGCAGGTAATGCCCTGGACGACGTGTGAAATACCTCATTTATGTATCTAGTCTTATGTAGATACATATACAAAGAAGAGAGATAGAGAGAGAGAGCTATAACGAAGAAAGACATATGCAGAGAGAGAGAGAGAGAGAGAGAGAGAGAGAGAAGATAGAGAGAATAAAGAAAAAAGACATAGAGAGAGAGAGAGAGAGAGAAGTAAAGAAAGAAAGACATAGACAGAGAGAGAGAGAGAGAGAGAGAGAGAGAGAGGAGAGAGAGAGAAGAGAGAGAGAGAGAGAGAGAGAGAGAGAGAGAGAGACAATAGAGAAATAGAGAGATAGATAAAAAAAGAGAGAGAGATGAACGAGAGAGGAAGCTAGACCTCAGTTAGGTGTGTGAGCAAGAGAGGGGCTGGCCTTATGTCATGCCAATACAGAGTTGCAACATGAGAGTTGTCTTGACGTTGTGCGAATAGAGAGGGCGCTACTCTAGAATCGTTCGGGCTTTGTCGTGAGCTTTGCTATCGTGTGTAGAACCCCGTGCTAGGTTGATAGAGTGACGAGCGCAGTCGGGTGGCCGTGGCCCGAGTAATGATTCACGGATCTCCAGAGATGCTCAAATAGCTCTCCGCCATGTCCTGCCAATCTCGTTAACGGCCGCAACGCGGATACAGGTTATAATGTACGTGTGTTCTCGTTACAAGTGATTGATATCTTAAATCACGTTATTAAAATATGTTTCTGTCATGGATGTATGAACTGAGGATAAATTAATTAATATGTTGAACTAAAAGTGTCATTTAACTAATCTGTTAAAACTTCGATTTATAAATACGTATTTTTAGGTATAAAGTTTAATTATTTTTATCAGATTATAAAACTTTTAGAAATAATAGAATTGTTAGTAAAACTTAATAAATAAACAAGTTTTAAAGTATTTGTCATACATTATTATCCAAACACCAAAGCTCTGATCCTACGAGAATATATTAATTTAGATGGTTAAAGTAGAATCAGGAGATAAGTGTATGATGTAGAGGGATAAAAGAGGCGAACTTACTGTGATTATATTACTGCAAGTAGAAGAGAAACGTCTAGTTTCGTATTGAGGGAGCGAGCAGAGTTACCGGCGAGGCTCTGTCAACGCACGCTGGCTGCCAGCGTTCAGAAGTCTCCATCTTCACAACATGTACGCCTTCTCTGCCGACCTACGACAGTTAGAAAAAATCAATAAAAATCATAAAAAATAATAAATACAAAGAAAAAAATAATAAATTTTGACAGAAGGGAGAGATAGTGATCCGCTAGGGGATGGCTCTGATTGGCAATTTGTTGGCTATTATTTTGGCTAATTTGTATTTATTTAGATATTAGGTTAGGTTTAGGGTTAGGGTTAGGGTTAACTGAATTCTATATCCAGCAACAAGCACTAATGAAATGCGCCATCTAGCAGATCACTATCTCTCCCCTGAGACCTACTAAAAAATAATAACATCAATCAAAAATAGTTATTATACAACAAAAAACAATAAAATCATAAAAAATATTACAAAAAGCAATAAAAATAAATTATTACCAAATACAATACCAAAATAATCATCATTAATACGTCATTACACAGTAATACGTCGACTATCACACTACATACTACATTTCTATCAACGTTTCGCTCGGTCGTTAACAACAACAATCAACGCGGCAGCGATGACTCACGTGGTTTCGTCGCGGCACCTTGACGCGGCGTTGATGGATGGAGACCGCACGCGCGTACAGCGACTCAGCCTGATCAAGCTTATCCTGCTTCTGACACAACATCGCCAGCATGTCGAGCTCCCTGGCCACCAGGTGGTGCTGCGGTCCCAGCGCGTTCTCGTAGATGTCGAGCGCTTGTTTACAGAGGGCGTCGGCAGTCGAGTACTTGCCCCAGAGCATGTGCAGCCCTGCGCGCAAAACGCCATCGACTGATTAATGCTCACTAACAAATGTACAACTCAAGTATATTAAAGTGATTACGTCACCGTAAATAGTAAAAGTAAACAATATATGTCCACTTTTGATTGTTCAGTTTTTATGGTTAAATTGCTGCATTATACTTCCTATTTTGCTATTCCGTTCGATGTAAACATACACTCGTGACTCATACATTACCCATAGCAAGCATTTAATGTTGTGATCATTATATCACATTGCCCAGATTTTTTGGATTTTTAACTAGTTGAGAAACAATCCTATTAGGTAAGAATTTGAGGATACATTTAGTGCTGTTAGTACTTATACTTATCATGTAAAAAAAATTGCAACAAAAACTTTACCAATATACACCATAGAAAATTCGTGACGTAGTAAATTGAATACAACTCAATAACAATAGCTCATTGTAACTGATAGACGGGCGCTCATTCTTACCGGCTAGCTGATGTAACACCTGCGCGACACTCGGATGGTCGGGGTCCAGCGCCATCTCTCTCACCTCTAGAGCCCTCTGTAGGGGTGTGACGCTCTGCTTCAGTAAACCCAGGTCCTGGAAACAATAACACAACGAACGAAGATAAACGCAAACGCGATATCTCTCACGGAAAGTGTTCTGCTTCCCACAATTCCATCTGCTTCCCACAATTGAAGCGAGAGCGCCATCTGTCGTGGAGTTTGCTTTCCACAATGCCCGCTGCTTCCCACAATTCCATCTGCTTCCCACAATGCCATCTGCTTCCCACAATGCACTCTGCTTCCCACAATGCACGCTGCTTTGCGCAGTGCGGGAAACTAACGACGAAAACGAGATTTAAATTTCAATCCGATTCAAATTTAGATTACAATTACGACAAATTTAAATTCAAATTGAAATAATAAGAACAATTAATAAAAAGAGAATCGACAACTATAGAATTTATTACGATTATTATGAAATTGTATTCACGATTAGAACATCGCTTATCAACTCATCCGGGATTTGCGGAAGCCGAACCTTGAGGAATATTCCCAACGCCTCGTAGAGATTAGCGACCCTCGCTAGCTGCGCTGTCGTGTCATCGCCACGGCGACCAGCCTCCTCTTCCTGCTGCTTGATGGCGGCGAAGTAAACGTCGGCCATGACGGACTGCTCCGCTCCCGTGAACTTCCAATAGTCGAGCAGCTCTCCACAGCGCCCCCTGGTGACGCAGTCGTAACTATTACATGATACCGACTCACGTCACGATTTATAAATAATAGCAATAAAAATAGTCACGACAGAATTAATTAGATAAGACTGATAATGAGTCTACACATTTATGATTAAATTAATATCTAAATGATTTTTACGTTGCCAATTGTTTGATTTTTATAGACCAAGTTTCAATATTAATTATTGCTATAATTATGCCTACTTAGTAAGCTCTTGACTCTCTTTTCTGGTAGTTTTATCTTTCAATAGATAATAGTGAGTTTGATCGTCATCGTTTGACTACGTCACTGATAAAACATCTAGTTTTACTCATACCAGAAAATCTTTCGAAATAAATAAATTTTCTTCTCTGACGATTTTACAATCGGTGACAAAAAATTTATCTCGTTTTTATAAACGAAATTTGTTCGAATATTTTAGCACGTCAGTTATAACCTTATCATTTGACTACACCACTAATAACAACTGTAACAGTCTAGTTTAGGCCGATATCAGAAAATCCAGTTTCTACGGCGACGATTTTACGATAGACTACCGAAAAATTGCTCTCTTTCTGAAAATTGAAAATTAATTGAAAATTGTTTGAGGATGTGTGTAAGAACCTGGTGAAAGCAGCCTGGAACATGGAGAGGTGTGAGATGCAGGCCTGCAAGGCTGCCTTGTCTCCCTTTGAGAGAGGAAGCTAGACCTCATGTTAGTGTGTGAGGAGAGAGAGGCTGGCCTTAGGTCATGCCAATACAGAGCAACATGGGGATGTTCTTACGTTTGTGCGAATAGAGAGGGCGCTCTCGTAGAATCGTTCGGCTTTGTCGTAGAGCTTGCTGTCGTTGTAGAACCCGGCCAGATTGTAGAGTGACTGAGCGCAGTCAGGGTGCCGCGGCCCGAGCAACGATTCACGGATCTCCAACGAATGCTCAAATAGCTTCTCCGCCATCCTGCAATCATCGTTAACGCCGCGACGCGAGTAATGAGGTTAATTACGTGTGTCGTTACAGTGATTAAATATCGTTAAATATCGGTTATTAAAATGTTTTGTCATGGATGTATTGAAATTGAATAAATTAATTTCATATGTTGAACTAAAAATGTCATTAAATATCTGTAAAATTCATTAAATACGTATTTTAATTTAAAGTTAATTATTTTTATCAATTATAAAATTTATGAATAATAAATTGTTAGTAAATACTTAATAAATAAACAGTTTTAAGTATTTGTCATAATTATTATTCCAAACCCAAAGCTCTAATCCTACAGAATTTATTAATTTAGATGGTTAAAGTAGATCAGGAAGATGTAAGGTCGTGTAGAGAGAGAGAAGAGCGAACTTACTGGTGGTTATTCTGCAGGTAGAAGAGTACTCCTAGTTCGTTGAGGGAGCGAGCGAGTTCGGGCGAGGCTCTGTCCAACGCCACCTGCTCCAGCTTCACAAGTCTCCTCTTCAACATGTCCGCCTTCTCTCCGACCTAGGACAGTTAGAAAAATCAATAAAATCATTAAAAATAATAAAATTACAAAGAAAAAATAATAAATTTTGCACAAGGGAGAGATAGTGATCCGCTAGGGGATGGCTCTGATTGGCTAATTTTGTTGGCTATTATTTTTGGCTAATTTTGTTTTATTTTAGAATTAGGGAATTAGGTTTAGGGTTAGGGTTAGGGTTAACTGAATTCTATATCCACAACACACTAATAATGTGCCATCTAGCAGATCACTATCTCTCCCCTGAGACCTACTAAAAAATAATAACATCAATCAAAAATAGTTATTATACAACAAAAAACAATAAAATCATAAAAAATATTACAAAAAGCAATAAAAATAAATTATTACCAAATACAATACCAAAATAATCATCATTAATACGTCATTACACAGTAATAAGTCGACTATCACACTACATACTACATTTCTATGAACGTTTCGCTCGGTCGTTAACAACAACAATCTACGCAGCAGTGATGACTCACGTGGTTTCGTCGCGGCACCTTGACGCGGCGTTGATGGATGGAGACCGCACGCGCGTACAGCGACTCTGCCTGATCAAGCTTATCCTGCTTCTGACACAACATCGCCAGCATGTCGAGCTCCCTGGCCACCAGGTGGTGCTGCGGTCCCAGCGCGTTCTCGTAGATGTCGAGCGCTTGTTTACAGAGGGCGTCGGCGGTCGAGTACTTGCCCCAGAGCATGTGCAGTCCTGCGCGCAAAACGCCAGCGACCGATTAATGCTCACTAACAAATGTACAACTCAAGTATATTAAAGTGATTACGTC